CTTCAACGGCTACTTGGTGTTCTATACCCAAGGTCTCCACCCCTTTAAGACAAACACACTTTGTCTCTTGGTTTTATTAGGGTTTGGGGTTTTGGGTTTAGAGTTTAGGGTTTTCTTTAGGGTTTAGGGTTCAGGGTTTGCAGTTTAGGGATTAGGTTTTAGGGTTTGGTATGACCATCCGACCCATAAAACTTGGCAACCTAAGCCAGGGGTAGGGTCTGACCTGCTGAAGATAGTGTAGAGTCTGACATCCTGCAAACCCTCAACCCTAAACCCTACAAGCCCTAAACCCTAAACCCCTTAATATAATGTATGGTCTCAAACCCTACAAGGGCTTGGGATGTAGTTGAGGGTTTGAGCCCAGATCTTCCAAAATCCCGTACGTATAGGCCTTAAAGTTTAGGGTTTAGGGTTTAGGGTTATGATTTAAAGTTTAGGGTTTAGGGTTATGATTTACGGTACTAAGGTTCCCCAATAGCCCCTTGATGACGGTACCCTTTTTGTTCCCACTTTTTGGTTTTAATAAGGGAACCCAAAGAAGAAAAACCGCACATGGGTACTAGTCAGGAACCTAAACCCTTACACCCTAATCCCTATAAAGCCGTTACCGAACCCCTACCCTAAACCCTAGGCCCTAAACCCTAAACCCCAAAGCCTAATCTCTATAGAACCCCTACCCTAAACCCTATTCCCTATGTTAGAACCCTTACAAACCCCTTAAACGACATATTCCTTCAGGTATGTGGGGAAGATCTGGGAGGCTCATCTGGAGGCCCGAGATTGTTGCAGGGCCCAGGGACTCCAATATCCCTTAATCAAGGAATATACCTTAAATTATAGTAGGATCCCTCATATGATTTAAGGTATATTCCTCAATTAAGGGGCATTGGAGTCTCTGGGGGTTGCGGACTACCCTAGAGCACACACCCTACATGATCATAGCTCTTGGAAGAACGCTCAATTGTTCTGCACTTGCAACTCCAACTCTAAACCCTGAGCCATTCACCCGATAAGCCCCAAACCCCATGGACGGTTAACCCTAAACCACCAAAAGCCGATAAATAGCGGCAAATATACTCATGTAACATCTAACTATCTGTCTATATCTATATCTATAT